AACATAATATTGCTGCGATTTATCTTCCAACTTTATTGATTGAATGACTTTATAACACAGTGGAGAAATTCACTTGTTACAACTGCTCAGTAGTCAAAAAGAAGTTGCCAAATGGAGGAAACGGTGCATGTGGGTACATACAGAATATACGGTGCGTCCACATACACATACATATATATAAATAAATAGAGTATTTAACAGGATTATTATATAGGGTTATTGCACAGGGTATTAAATGGGTATTTATATATATGATTATTGCACTGGTTATCAAATCTAAAATAAAACAGGTTATTCCACAGGATATCAAATAGTAATTGTACATTACACATCGCACAAGTTATTGCCGTTCTAGTGTACTGTTGAGTCTGGTTGCAGCAGGGATGAATGGCCTGCAGTGGTGCTCCTTTTTACAAACAGGGTGTAAAAGTCTTTCAGTGCTCAGCTCCTCTACAGTCTGGTGAAGGGGGTGAAAGGTGTTGTCCATGATGGATGGAAGCTTGGACAGCACCCTCCTCTCAGTCACTTTATCCACTGAGTCCAGAGATGCAGCCTAGCACAGGATCTTTCTCATCAGTTTGTTCAGTCTCTTTCTGTCCTGCTCAGAGCTGCCAGGGGCCCAGCAGATGACAGCGTAGAGGAGGGCTGATGCCATGACAGAGTCTTAGAAGGTTTTAAGCAGGGGCCTGCAAACTTCAAAGGATCTGAGCCTCCTCAGGAGGTGGAGGCAGCTCTGGTCCTTCTTATTCAGGGCGTCAGTGTTGTGAGTCCAGTCCAGTTTATTATTATTGACCTGAACACCCAGGTATTTGAAACTCTCCACAGTTTCTATGTCCTGCCCCTGGATGTTTATGGGGTAGTGAGGTGGGGGTCTTCTCCTGAAGTCGGTCACCATCTCCTTGGTCGTACTGGTTTAAAGACACAGGTGGTTCTTCTCACACCAGTCCAAAAAGTTCTGATGACCGATCAATACTCAAAATCGTTCCCCTCAGAAATCCAGCCCACAATGGCCAAGTCATCGAAGAACTTCTGGAGATAGCAGCTGTCTGTGTTGTAGGTGAAGTCCGAGGTGTAGAGGGTGAAGAGAAAGGGAGACGAAACGGTACCCCGTGGGGCCCGGTACTATAGACTGCCACCGCTGACTGGCAGCCATGCAGCCACACATGCTAATGGCAGTCAGTGAGGGAGTTGATGGTCCAGGCAGCAAGATGTTTGTCCACTCCAGTGTCCTCCAGCTTTCCCCTCAGCAGCTCTGGTCTCATTGTGTTGACAGCGCTAGAGAAGTCAAAGAACATGACTCACTGCGCTCACGGTGGTCTCCAGGTGGGCGAGCGTCCACTCAGCAGGTTGATGATGGCATCCTCCACGTCAATGTCAGGTCGGTAAGCAAACTGCAGAAGGTCCAGGGTAGGGCTCACCACGGTGCGTAGGTGAGCTGGCATGAGGCACTTCATGGTCTTCATCAGGTGGGAGGTCAGAGTGACTGGTCTAAATTGGGCCAGTTCCATTGCGTGCAGCGTTTTGGGAACCGGTTCCACACAGGTCTTCCACAGGGTGGGGACCACCCCCAGGCTGAGGCTCAGGCTGTACATGTAGCTAAGGATCTCACAGAGCTCATCAGCACAGGTCCTCAGCAGCCTTGGGGGAGATGCTATCCGGTCCTGAGGCTTTCCTCTGTTTCAGTCACCGAAGCTGACCTCTTACCTGCATCGAAGTGATTGTAAGGGGGAGCGAGGCAGGACAGAGGGTGTGGGTGGGTGGGGGTTTGTGAGAGTGGCGGTGAGGTCGCTGGTGGCCTGGGGATTGGAGACGTTGGGAGAGTTGAGGACAGGGAGGGGGCCCAGTGTGAAGAACCTGTTAAACTTGTCTGCAAATTTGATGTCATCATCTGCAGACCTGCTGGTCCTCTGCCCAAAGATGTCCTTGAGACCTTTCCATGCATTTCTGACTTTGTTCTGTACCAGTTTTCCTCCATCTGCCTCTCATGGTCCTTCTTTGCCGCCTTGATCTTCCATTGGAGCTCTCGCTGAACTCTGCGCTGCTCTTCTCTTTCCCTTGAGTCGAAAGCCTTTGTCTTCTGGTTTAGAAGTACTTTCAGCTCAGGGGTCGTCCCGGGGTGTTTGTTTGGAAAGCTTCATAGCCGTCGTGTAGGCACAGTGCTCTCCACACAGAAGGTCATGTAGTCAGTGATGCATTCAGTCAGGCTGTTGATGTCATCACCATGAGAGCTATGGAACATGCTCCAGTCTGTGGTTCTGAAACAATCCCTGTTTCTCGGTGGCCTCATCTGGTCATTGATGATGATGATGTTAAGGACTAGTGACACGCAGTACTGGGATGTAATCTTCTCTGCTGTTCTCAAAACTCTCCTCACGTTATTACAGTCTGAGTCCTCGACACCAATCAGTGAGACAGCTGGTCAGAACACTCGCTATTGTGCTTCTGTAGAAGGTGGTGAGGATGGGAGGGGGCAGGCGTCCTCTCCTCATCCTCTGCAGGGAGTACATGCGCTTTTGTGCCCTTTTGACCAGTGAGGTTTTGTTTACAGGTCAGGTGAGGGTGTCTGTGATGTTCACCCCAGGAATTTGGTGCTGCTGACCACCTCTACAGCTGAAAATGAGCCGTGTTTCACCATCTCTCACTCACAAACACCAAAAGCCCCTCTTCTCTCTTTTTTTCCACTCTCCCAAAAAGTCCTATCTGTGCTGATGAGTTTAAAGCCGTCCAGGGAAACAAATAGGACAAATCCATCTACCTACTTTTCAATGAAGTGCATGATACTAACGTCCCTGTACCTCCTCTGAAATCGGGTTAATGCTACAAGTTCCTTAGTCTTGTGGCGGACAGATCTTACGTTTCCCATGACAACCAATGGTAAATAACTTTTCCTCCGCTTCGTCCTGCAACCCCTGCAGCCTCTCCGTTTTCTCCTTATTTGTGCAGGGATATCTGGTCTCACGAAGTGGTGGTGAGCAGGGCTACTGCGCACAAAGTCACGTAGTCCAAGGAGCTGGTTTTGTGTGTAAACAATAGGTCAATCAGAGTCACGGACAAAGGGGTCTCCACTTGTAGCATCAGAAAATGCTGAAAGTAAAAAAAAAAAAACTCAACACTGCAGTCCCAAAAGTTGGCTTTCTCTGTGAGCCTACGCTCAGAAAATCAGACAAAGTATTCAGTAATAGAAAAAGGTTCCAAAAATCACTATAAAGGAGAGAAAGTAGGAAAGCGCACAGAGCCGACGTAACGCGCATGCATAGCACAATTTTGCCATCATGCATAATCAGTGCCACAAACACTTGATAAACTACTTGCTGTTTTGTTCACTATATTTATGTGAGGGTGAAAATTAAAATGTCAATACATAATTAAAGCCGCAAGCAGCATTGGGTGGTCATCGCAGCTAAGCGCCTCTCAGCCTATTGCGACCACGGGATCTGTGCACGCCATCCCCACGCCTACGGCAATGTGGCCTAAATTCAACCTTCCTGACAGCATTTCTAGCCCTCTCCTATCCCAAATGGCACACAGAGAAAAGCAGGAGATTCCAACAGTGAAACATGGGGCATCCTGATCTCAGGGTGCGGGATAAACTGATATCTTCAAATCTGGTTGTCTCTGTTCAAAGATGACACACAGAAAAAATTGATTGAATGATCTACGTTGGAATGCAAAGTGCCTTACTTTGGCATATTTAACCAAAACTGTGCCTTGGACGAAGTTAGACCAGCGTGTTTTCTGCCTTCTGACCTAGACAGAAAGGGACCCTCCAACGTAAAAAAAGTGACTTTTTTTCCCTCAGGGGGCGGGCTTTAAAGATGTCATTTGATCAGCTATTTTTGGGGGCTACCTAAGGGGCTCATTACTACCAAATTTGATTTGAATTTGATTTTGTTTTATAAAACTTTTGCCTTTTCAATTGCTTGAAAGGTTAGTTGGATTCCGTTAAATTATTCATTGTTTATTAAGGCACCCTAAAATCCATTCTTAGGCAGTGGAGAAACTTTCAAAACACAATAGGTCTTCGCTGCTAACCTAATTATCGGCACTTGCAGCATCAACACTTTGACCATGTGCTTATACAGTATACCCAGACCCAGCGGTTCTCCTGCATTGTCAGAATGGTCCGAATAACAACCTTTTCTGCATTTTGGGTGCAATCTCTCGTAACCTGAAGCCGAATAATCACGCAGAACATCTTATGTTCACTAGCTGTGATCAGTTGTTTGCTGAAGACTGCAGCAACAAAAAGGCAATATATACATAGAGAGAGTTGAAGGCCCAGTTATTTAGTGTTCCAAACTATTGTCTTCCATAGATAAAGTCCCAACTGCTGCGCTGGACAGCTATGCAATGTAAGGGAATGGAAAATACATATTTAGGCAAAACTCTGTCAGATATACATTCAACACTTGGGAAAAGACCCAACTCATCCTACAGCGACAATCAGAGAATGTGGTCATAAAACTAATGGGCAGGACGTTCACAATGAACTTTTTTTTTTTTACATCACTGTCACTGGCGAACAGGGTCCTGGGAAGAAAACAGCTGGTCTAAAGTTCCTCCAGGACACGCTGAATTCTGCACGCAGGTGTTCACATCTAGCAGTGCTTTGCTGACCCTGTATGCACCCAAAAAGAGAAAAAAACTGTCTATATTCTCAGCACCATGCACCAGAAAGTAGAGCTGACAGGTAGCGGGTGGAGAAACCCGGGTTAGAGTGGCTCTAGTGTCAAGGGAAGCAAAATTCGCAGCATTTAAACAACATTAACTTTTGTTTACATTCACATCAGCAAATCCAGTCAGGTACAGGGCATTCACCAAAAATCCCACATAATGTAGCTGAGTCAACTTGCATCTGGACAACTTTGAATTTTAATGAGATCTTATTCAGATGCACCTGTCCTTGAGCTGCATGTTATTATTAAGTAAAGAAGTACTGTTTTTTTTTCCTGTTCACGCTGTAATAAAGCTGTCGGTTGATTCTTCTTGTATTTTTATAGGTATGTGAAAATTCCTATGGGAAACATGGGTGTTTTTGACCCAACTGAAATCCACAACCGGGGTCTACTTAAATCATACATGAAGGAAGCCATGATTAAACTAGGATACCACCTGCTCTGCTTCTTCATTTATTTGTACAGGTAACACACATTAACACTCTAAAGTAAAAAAAATATATCCTCTCTAGGGCTGCACAATATATGGATAGTTATTGTCATCTCTGTAACAGCCTGTGTAGTTGGCATAATGCAAAAAGCTGCATACACTTTATCAACGTTAAGATATACTGAGCAATAGTGGCAAACATGAGAAACACAACTGTTCTCTGTTGTCACCTCCAACATCTGTTTATGAAAGGTTCAGGGAAATATCACATAGATTTGGAATTTGTTTGTAAAAAAAAAAAGTAAAATGTGCAAAAGGCTTACATTTGAAAGAATTGATGCACTGTGAATCCTGTAAGTATCCATTTATATATTATAAGTAATATCCTTATTGCAATATTAGGCAGGTAACACACGTCAGGTTTTCCTGATATTGTGGAGCCCTAGTCTCATACCATTATGTTAATAAGTTAATGTTAATCATTTTTATATGTATATGTACTTCCAGCATGATCCTGGCTCTGATCAATGACTGAAACCTTCAGCAGTTCGCCCATCTTCACCCCGGTATTTTCTGGATGAAACATCCCAAAACACTTTGTTGTCAGAATCCTGAGTTTGCAGTTTTGATACAGTTATATGGTTAATATTTAACCATTTAATGCTTAACATGTTTGAAACAGCCCAAAGAAATGTTTGTTTTGTGATATAGAAAACTGCCATATGTTATTCCATTTTCAAACCTTTGTTTGGCATCAAGGAACTTCTCACTTGCTACTTGATGCCCTGAAATAAGAAACTTTCACTGTACAATTGTGTATGTTTTTGGTGGGTTCTTTTTTTTTTAAGAGTTTAAACCAGCTAAAAGAAACACCTAAAATGTTACTTTCAAAGAAAATATGTATTGTTGATGGGGAAGGCTTGCTTCAATGCTGTAAATATATTGATAAAAGCTGAGCATAGGTGTTGATTGGACTAAGGCGAAGTGTGCAGAAAGGTTTGGATCTGTATACACTCATGGGGGGGGGGGAGGAATTTCATCCTTGTTTCATTACTTGTTCATTCTAATGTCTGATGGGAGAAAAAACACAGCTGTTTGGACAAATATCAAAATAAAAATAGCCAATAAGAGTTTAATTAAAAAGTTGATAACAAGAATTTTCCACAGATTCTTGTTAATAACCAACATTACAGAAGCATTTGAATTAATAGCCCTTTTACTGCCAGAAACTGCTATTAGGCATCCAATGTTTTCTGTTTCTTTTTGCTAAATGGAAACATAGTTCTGGTTTTCGAAAATGGTAAATGGTAAATGGCATGTACTTATAGAGCGCCTTTATTCAAGTTAGGAGACTTGACCAAAGCGCTTTACACTACATTCATTCACCCATTCACACACACACTCACACACTGATGGTGGCAAGCTACATTGCAGCCACAGCTGCCCTGGGGCTCACTGACAGAAGCGAGGCTGCCGTACACTGGCGCCACCGGGCCCTCTGACCATGCAGGTGAAGTGTCTTGCCCAAGGACACAACGACAATGAAAGTCGGAGTCGGGGCTTGAACCGTCAACCCTTCGATTTCAGGGCAAACTCCTACATCCAACGCCACTGTCGCCCCAAAAGCAAAGTTGGTCTAAAATATTTCCCATTTAATATTTTCCCGCTCTTAAAGAACCATGTAAAATCAGATTTTTACTTAATACAGAACATCACATGAAGAAAGTTATGGATGCTGTGATTGAGAAGTATTTCATTTCATTATAAACCAACTTGACAGTAACATTGTGCTCATAATTTCTCTGGTGTAAAAGAATTTAAATCTAAAAGTAGCTTGATTACAGCTTCAATTACCACCAATCGGTTGTTCCAGTGTTAAAAGAAAAAACAGACAAATCAAAATTCACATAACTACTTGTGGTTTTATGTTACTGTTTTATGCTGAGAAACCCCATCTATGAAATGTTCACATGCCTTATTCATTGCTTAGTACTACTTAATATTTTATGTACCTAATATTCTGGCATGAATCAATAACAATATGATAAGTAGTTTAAATTTGCTTGGAAAATTCTAATTTCTTGGATCCAAAAGCACTATTAAGCACTAAACTGAGTATATTCTGTTGGAATTTATATGAAATGTGAAACCTGACATTACTGACGATTGTGGGAAAACTTGTCATGCTATAAAAGTTTTTTGCATAAGATCCATCCTTTAAAGCCCTTTTACAAATCTGCCGTTTGTAAAAAAAAAAAAAAAAAAAAAAAAGTCTGCCTCCATTGTACTGCTATGAGTTTAAAATCAGATGTTTTTACTGTGAGGTCTGAATTCACCTTTACTGACTTCAGTGGTTTTTTGTTTTTGTTTTTTTTGTTGAAAGTTTTACTTTTTCACTTTTTAAGAGGAACTCTTTTCACTCCTTGTGGGCATGTTGAGGGTAATATTGTAAGGATAAGCATATGTAAATTTACTGACTTCCAAGAGATAACTTGAGTCGAAAAAACATGCTTTATACAATGTCTAAAATCTTACAAAACGTTTGAATTTATTAGTGTGCTGGTAAGGTTTCAAAGTCTATTATTTGGGGTGACAGTTTTTTTTTTCTCAACTGGGGGTTTAAATCTGTGGGAAATCAAAAATTGGTGGGAGAATAACATTAAATTTGTGTTTGATATACACTAACCATGTAGTGTGTTTTCTTTATTGCTGAGAAAGTGTTTCTTAATTAAAACAGCAAAATCAACCCAATATGATTGTTTGCCATTGCTAAACAAGCACTTCTTTTCAAGTCTGCAGAGCGGTGACCTCGCTTCACTTTTCTGTGAAATCCAGCTTCTATAACCAATCAGAGTCGCTAGATGGGATTAAGAAGCGGAGCGGTGATGAAGCTTTTACAGGTCAAATAGGAGTTGAGAGGAAATGATGTTGACAAAGGATGATATTAGGAATGATCTTAGGATGTTTTTAGTTGGCTTTTAAAAAAGCTGTTTTAATTCAACCCTAGAAAAACTGCTCGTCATCCTCCCTTACCTCCAGTACAGACGGTGGCCAACTGCAGCCTGGATGAACCAAAGCAATACACATTTTAGTGCTTCCGGGGCTTTTCTTTCCAGGCACATTCAAAAGTTGTGCATCAAATACAATTCATCAGCAGTCTGTAAGGTTGCATTTCATTGATGCTTTTATTTTCTAATTGTTAATAATGAGATTTTGTTTGACGGGTTGCGAGGGGTGATGGCAGGTCAAAACCCAAAGATCTTTGAGGCTAATGAACTACTAAATATTGTATAACCATCATTCCACCCACTAAAGGACACAGTTATATTCACTGCTAATACAGGAGTGCCATTTTATGTAATGTAATTCATTTATACATGGAAATAAGCACAGTAATGTCTGCTCGAAAGGTGGCAACATTGGTCGAAATTAAAAATAATATCTTAAAACCCAATACAGCACAAACTACTATTTAATCTCCACAACTCTGCATTCAGGTAGCACTAAAAGAGTAAACCACTTTGGCTGAACTCTGAGCTTCATGGGGGGATGATTGACCTTAAAGTAGCACAAATTATGATTCTAATTGAAAAAAAGTGAAATGATGAACATAGCGGCCTGCTCTACCCAACTCCAACGCTGTCTGCCTGGGCAAGCTTTGATGATCCTCTCCAATACTCCTTTCATCACACATAGTTAGCCTCTAGACCAGGGGTAAGCAACGTGAAAGAGCCATAATAGACCTTATCATCAAATCTGTCTGGAGCCACAAAAATGTAAAAGTTTTATATGAGCCTTATATGGCAAAATTGATTGATGATTGATTGGCGGTATTGATCGGGCACTAAGTGTATTAGGCCGGTATAGAAAAAGGACTATGTGGGCTTAAATATAATAAGCATTCATGATTATATGTTTAACCTCGAACAAAAGTCACATCATGTCACTATGGATTGAAATGGAATTATAGAAACACAATAAAAAAAAGTCTGATTTTTGGTGTTATTTTTATTTTGAGTATTTTTTTGGGGGGGTGGGTGGGTACACTTACCTGCATAAAAGTTCCCCCTGTTCGATCTGCGAACAGTTTTCCATGCTTGCCACAAAACTAGCAGAAGTGTTTAAGTTTGGACTTCTTAAATCTATCTTTGCTCTCAATTAATTCAGAAGTTCTGCAATCACATTTTTCTCTCACTCCCAGATTGGTGGTTGGCTAGATATTTAGCAGCCTTCCCTGGAAATGCCTTTCCAAATTATTTGTATTTGAAAATTTCTCGTTCCAAAGCAAACATGCAGGCAATCCTTCCACATTGGTAATGAAAGCAAATGATTTACTCCATTCTTCTTTGTAGTAACGGTAGTCCTCATCAGTCACACAAAATTTGAAAATGAATGGCTGCTGACTTTTAAGGGTCAGCTGCTGGATTTTGTGTTCAACTGTTTTGCACCTCCAACTGCTGAATCTTCCTTGCAGCACTGTCCACTTCACCTTTAGAGAAAAGAAAAGGATAAACTCTTACATCACTTTTCCATTTTTTGGTTAATCTACATAATTGGATGCTATCAGTAAGCCTGACAGTAACTCTTAACTTTCATTTAGTGAAGAAAGGAACATTAAGGTATTTATTGCTATATTGTGTCAAATATGATGGTGGATACAATCTAATTTATGTGATTAGAAAAATTGAAACATTAATTTCTCAGATTAATTTTGCTGCATTAGCAGACTGATTTTGACATCTCCAACAAAACTTCCAAATCTAACGACCCACTGAAATTATCTTGGGATCCCACTTTTGGAAAAAGCTAAATAAACTTATAACTCTGTTTTCTTTAAGAAAGAATGAATATGTTAGGTTTGTTGAAAAATTCACAAGGAGAGGTATGGCAGCTGTAGTCATGATTTTTTTGCACTGCCTCCAGGTGGGACCAATGCTCTGAGCTGCTCTCTTTAACATTTTATTGTCACCTGCAAGGCATTTTTTTCTTCCAGATACCTTTTTTTTGCAAAAATCAATTCAGGTAATGGGTTTAAAAGTTATTTTTTACATGGATACCATCACATATAGGAGTAAAGGGAAATTAGTTGGCAGATAAATGTGCAAAACAAGCAACAAAAAATAGATCTATTGATATATTGGTATCTTTCAGTAAAGAAGAAATTAAATCTATTGTTAAACAAAATGTTAAGGAAAGTTGGCACAAGCAGAGCGAAGAGGATAGAACTGGAAGGTGGCTTTATTCAAAGAATAGTTAGTAGAATGAGGAGAACAGGAAGAAATAGAGAAGAGGAAAGCATTATATCCAGATCGCGTTTTGATCATACAAGGTTAAATAGTACAGTATTTAAAAGGGGGGGGGGTTGATTTTTGCTTTCAAGAAGAGACAGTAAAAAATGATTTGTTATTCTGTTCTAAATATTCTATTGAGAGAAGGAAATTCGTTTGTCGATTACAAGAAAATCAATTAGAGTTAAATATACAAAATATTTTGGACAAACTTTCTACTTCTAAATGGTTTTGTTATTCAATGACTTACCTTAAGAAAAGAAAATTAATATAAATGATGTAAGCTTTATGATTTAATTATAATTGTTTTGTGTGTGTGGAAGAATATATATATATATATATATATATATATATATATATATATATATATATATATATATATATATACACATACATACATACATACATACATACTTACATAGTATAGTACCATATGTATGTATGTATGTATGTATATATATGATGTTAGCATGAACCGCACTGGCTTTTATTACTTATTTTACGCTGTTGAATGTTAGAAAAGTCTTGATCAGGTATGAAAACAAGTGACACATGTAAAGTTACAGAAACTAAGCAAAAGCAGAGTGTTTCTATCAGCATGAAGATATTAGAGATTTCAGCCGATAAAATTTTATATTAGTATTTTTAGCCAATAACGGATCGATATCTGATATGAATATTGGATCAGGACATGCCTAATAAGATGGTTTGAGTATCACAGACAGTTTAATAGTAAAGTCAAACCCTAACACTGACTTACATGTCTAAGTTCCAGCTTGAGTACTGGATTTTGGCATTCCTACTCCTTTCTATTGCAATAGTGCTGATAAGCTTAGATATGGTATTTTTAATATATATAAGCATACCGATCTCCACTCCATTAGATGGCGATAATGCGCATTAATGAGTCGCTTGCCAACCGCCATAAAAAAAAAATAAGAAGCTACTTCCACTTCCTGTGGCGCCCTGTTGTCAAATGTCCGCAGCGACCAAAATAAAACAAACAGGCTGTAAAGACTTTGGACAACTCGCTGTTATCAGTGCAGAGGTGAGTTTTCTTCAGAGGGATATGCTGTCATGTCATTAATAATGTTTGCATCGTCTTATTGTTAAATCATGTATTTAAACGTTTCCCGTCGACTTCCGATGTCATAGGTTACTGACAGCTGCCGCTGATTTAAACGCTCCCAAAATCGTTTATATCTTTTATAGATAGGGTTCCAATTAGGGCTGAAACAATTAAAAGGTTAATCTTGATTACTCGATTATTGAAATAATTGACACTAGTGATGGTTAATGAGGCATCTTGATGCCAAGTTGTATTTATGCTTTGTTGATGCTGTGTGACAGAATACTGACACCTGCTGGACATTTGAAGACACTACAGGCAGCTTATTGGACAGACTGAGAATTGATTTGAATCAGAATCAGAATCGGGTTTATTGCCATTGTTAGTGAAGAGGTTCACAACTAGGAAATTTTTGTGGTACAGTCGTGCAACATGAAACATATATGAAATAGTAAATAAAATTATAAAAATCTCTAAAAACACTAGGGTATAAGGCATGCAAAAAATATACTAATATATACACTTAAGATAAAAATATGGATAAATATAAAAAGTAAAATGTACAAGATAGTGCAAGATAGTGATGATCTAGTACGCTGATAGAATTTAAGTTATTGTAGGTTATAGTGTATTATTTGATATCTATATTAACATTTATTTTTTTATAACTTTTTTTGAGCTTTTTATAATACAGACAAAAAAGGCACTCAAAACACTACAAAAGATTAAAAGAAAAATAGAACCATTAAATAATATACTAAGGGGAAACTCTTATTCCAATATCCTAAAGATCAAGGGCATCCTTCATAACCCAAGTTAGTCCTGTAACATTGATGTGAAGCTTATCCATTTCTAGTTCTCAGTCTATGTGTTAGAATCTCCGTCTCATATAATGTGTTCACAGTCTGTATCTATTCCTTTGTTGTGGGGGAAACGAATTGGCCAAACTTCCTGGTTATTACCTTTTTGGCAGCCACCGACAGAATTTTAAACAAATAACAGTCATTATTAAGAACAACGTTGTCCAAAGGCCTAGATATAGAACCAAAGCGGTGTTAGGTCCTGTGTAACCTAATATTGTTACAATCCTTCTGTGTATTTTGTTCCAAAACTGGATGATTTTAGAACAGAGCCAGAAAAAATGTGCATGGTTAACATAGATGCTCCACAAATTCTCCACCACGATTGAACAGTAGATTTAAATTCGACGATAATTTTAGGTGTTATAAAAAAATCTGATTGACCATATAGTCTCTGATTAAACATCCTAAACATGTCCTCAATAGCTGCAGGGTCGCGTGTCATTTGATTTGTATCTCCATCCTTTAATTTGTAGATATTTCTAGCTGAACGTTGTTTTTTCAGTTTCTTTGCTAGTCATTTATTTCCTTGGAATCCGATTTCATGATATGATTGTCTGATAAATTTCTATTTCTTTTCAATTTTGTATGGAAATATTTAATTGATGTTGTTTCTTAATTCTTTTATCTTAGTAAACAGGTTGGGATCTTGAGTTAATTTGTGTGGTTTTCTAATTTTATTCATTTAGCTCTTTCTTTATCATAGGCTTCCACTCTGGATTTCTTAAAGGCCTCAGTTTTTGATATCAACTTTCCTCTTAGTACTGCCCCTTAAGCGCATCCCAGAGTAATACCCGACAAACCTGTCCATCATCATTCTCTTCTATATAAGTTTTTATCTCATGGGAAATTTCAGCTTTGATTAGTTTGTAGTTCAATAGGCCTACATTTAATCGCCGTGCTGTACGTTTTCTGGAAGGTAAATTAAGTTTTAATATTAGGAAAGTGGTCAGATATACTTTTTTCTTCTATTTTACATTCCTTTACTTTATATAAATCAGCTTTATTCATGAAAAGGTAATCAATTCTGGAGTAACTTTTATTGGGGGCTGAGTAGTGAGTATTTTTTTTTAATATTGGGGTTCAATTCCCTCCAGATGTCAACAAATCCAAATTCTTCAAGTGCTAATTTAAATTTTTCTGTGGATGAAATTTACTGGTTTTTATAGTTCGTTGAATCAAGCTTCGTGCTTAATACAATATTGAAATTCCCACCCCAGATCAGTATTGCCTCTGTTTCTGTAATTATTTAACTCAGAAGATTAGTAAGGAATTGTATGTTGGCGTTTGGGGGATTTGTAGACCTTGACTAGTTTTACCTTTACATTCTGAAGAGTCCCCTTCACTGTCACTAATCGGCCCTAAGACTGGACCCCACATTGACAGTCAGACAGCAGAAATCACGGGCGCCATCTTTTGGAGGTCGACCTGCTAACTGCTGCTATTAGGCTACTCTTAATCCCACTAACAATATTTAAATGCACTGCATCATTTGTTTATTTTTAGCAATAAAACAAACAAAACAAAACTGGGAAAATTAGTTCAGTATTTAGCGTTTTAAATTGATTAAAATCGATTCTGTTCCTGCTCAACACATTACACTGAGCGCACCTGTTGACCGTCCAGATATGGTGCCGCCAAATCACGTCAGCAGCCATAGGCCAAAGCGGTTGATGCAGGGTCTGCTCCTATATGTATATGTGCAACCAAGGGCAGGAGTGCCTCGGCCAAAGTGATGCAGCCAATAAAGACGCCATCTTGGTACACGTAACCCCTTTCCATAACACAGCAGTCACAACAAAGGAGGCAGTTTTAATTTGTTCTAAAGCAGTTTGGTTCCCTGATAAAAAGTTGTGGATTTTTTTTATGCAAAAAGCGAATAGAAAGAAAAGATTCTGTTATTTTTAACTTTCTCTGTTCTTTAGTTTTACTCGTATTAGCTTAAGCATATCATGCACTAAACATATGTACATTCAGGGCAGTTGGGACAGCCCACTGATCAACTGTATTTCATCATTTTACTATGTAATTTAATTTTTGTTACTATGTAATTTAATAAGTTATGTGTATTAACTATGATGTGGTCTTTGATTTTACTCTGGAAAGGGGCATTCTGCTCTTGTGTCTACAGACTACAGCCATGCTGACTTGTGAGATATGTGGTATGGAGATACTGTTGGAGGAGGACATGAAGACGCATCTCCTTCTTTTCCACCTGGAAAATGACCATCATTGTCCCCTCTGTGGTCTGTCTGGAGTTAGTTATGATGAGCTCTGTTTCCACATCACGTCTGCACATCCTGAAGATCATCAAGGCCAAAGTCCAAAGTCTCCTAATGGTTCAAATGCAAGAAAAAATGAAAGCAAAGAGTCCAAAACCAATCGGTCACTAAGATTTGACAGCAGTGCCCTCGCTGATAAGAGAGACTTGGGGTCATCTGGACAAAGTGGAACAGAAAATCTACATTTATCACCTGGAGAGAGTGATGAGTGCACTAAAGACTTAAGAAAGCAGGTTTCTGAAATCTCAGACCGAATTAATCCCAATGAGATAGGTGAATTTCGACAGATCCAGAATTCACCAGAAGGAGGTACCTCTAACTTTTGAGTTTTGTTTCAAATGTTATTTCCAAATTTAATTTAACAGCTCTTTATGTATTCCAGAGAAGCTGCTCCCCTGTCCCATGTGCACACTGGTCTACAGTTGTCCCTATCTCCTGCAGGAACATGTTGAGCTGCATCTTTTGGAACAGGAATCAGGTAATTGTAACTCCTCTTCACCACTTTCTTGTAATGTGTAAGAAGTACCTTAGGTTCAGTCGCTCTTCCTCACTCTGTTGGATTATTCAGACTCGGCGTCAGAGATGTGTTCACCAGCTGTGACATCAACCAGCAACCTCTCAGGTATGTCTCCCGATGCACTGTTTGTTTTATTGTTTTGGTTTATTTAACTTTACAAGCACAGAAACGTGTCCATCCTTGTTATCTTGCTTATGTTTTTCTTTTACTGACACAACACTGCTAGACATTTTATGGTTCCACTTTATTTGACATGACCATTTATCTTGAAAACCATTACTGTGTGGAAGTTGTTTTTTAAAGCAATGCAGCCAGTTTAATACAGTGCCAATTCACACAATGTCATTCAATGTACTTTATACAAACAGTTCAGTCTAGTCATAAGCCTCTTTCCCACTGAAAATAATGTGTTAATGCATGTTTTTCAAACTTGGGTCGACCCGCTAACAATCTGCATTTGGCTCCCTTCCCACTGGAATAAAAGAGTTGGGTCTAATCTCTTGCTGGGAGCTGTGCGGCCTCTGTTCCTACGCGGCTGCGTGTTTGGTGAAACTAGTGATGGTGAGATGAAATCTCATGAGGCATTGAACCATTTGGCCAAATTGCTTTAATGATCCCCACAGTTAATGAAGCTTCATGTGAACGAATCACCACTTAGTGGTGGAGTGCAGAACTACAGTTAGTAATACAATCTGTAATTTTTTTTTTTGCAATTGTTTTTCTCGCTCTGTTTTCCCATTTACAGTTTGGGGATATACGTATTTGACCCCTTGCTGATTTTGCAGGTTTGCCCACTTACAAAGAATGCAACAATCTACAATTTTAATCATATGTACATTCTAACGGTGAGAGACAGAATCCCAAAGAAAATTCCAGAAATTCACATCATATGAATTTATTAAATTGATAACCATCTGATGAGGAAAACCAAGTATTTGACCCCCTGGACAAACAGCATGTTAATATTTTGTAGAAAAGCCATTATTGACCAGCACAGATGTCAAACGGTTTTTATAGGTGGTGAAAAGGTTTGTGCACATTTCGGCAGGGATGTTGGCCCACTCCTCCCTGCAGACAGCCTCCAAATCATTCAGGTTTCAGGTTGTCGCCTGGCAACTGGAATTTTAAGCTCCGTCCAAAGATTTTCAATTGGATTCAGGTCTGGAGACTGGCTAGGCCACTCCAGAACCTTGACCCCAGGCTCACACCGACTCCGGTCTTACCGTTGCGGTGCGGTGGGTGTGGCGCCGCAGTGATTCCAAGTAATTAAAAAGACGTAAACCTCTCTCACCGGCTGCTGAGCTGTCCGGCTGCGGTTACCGAGACACTCCGGCGCTGCAGAAAATTCCGCAAGAAAGCTATCCTTGCGGCGTGCCGGAGCCCTCCGCAACAAGATCTCACAAATATCCTTATTTGGGCCGTGTTATCGCGTGAAGTTACGTGAACTCAAGTGAACTCAAGTGAACTTCTGTTAAATCTCCGGACCTGTTGCCGGAGCCGCAGAGTCGCACCGCACCGTAGTCAAAAGGGCGGTGTGAGAGGGGGTGTGCGGGAGTTGCGGTCTCCGTCGGCTCGGTAACCGCACCGGAGCCAGTGTGAGCAAGGGGTGATGTGCTGCTTTTTCAGCCACTCTTTTGTTGCTTTGGCGGTGTGCTTAGGGTCGTTGTCGAGCTGACACACCCATCCTCCACCCATCTTCAGCTCTCTCACTGAGGGAAGGAGATGGTGGTCCAGAATTCCACCATACATGGCCCGTCCATCCTCCCCTCAATACGATGGAGTTGTCCCGTCCCCTTGGCTGAAAAGCACCTCCAAAGCATGATGTTGCCACCACCATGCTTGACAGTGGGGATGGTTTTCTTTGGGTTGTACTCAGTGTTCTTTGCCCTCCAAAGACGACGAGTTGAGTTGAGGCCAAAAAGTTGTATTTTGGTCTCATCTGACCACATCACCTTCTTCCAGGCCTCTTCTGAGTCGTCCAGGTGGTGAATGGTGAACTTCATGCGGGCCTGTACATGTTTCTTCTTGAGCAGGGGGACCTTGCGTGCGCTGCAGGATTTCAATCCATGACGGCGTAGTGTGTTACCAAACGTTTCTTTTGTAACTATGGTCCCAGCTGCCTTCAGTTGATTCATCAGTTCCCCCCTTGTGGTTTTGGGATGATTCCTCACCGTTGGTATGATCAGGGACACCCCACAAGGCGATATCTTGTGTGGAGGCCCAGACCGAGGGAGGTTGGCGGTGGTGCAGTGCTTCTTCCATTTCCTGATAACTGCACCAACAGTTGATCTTTTCTCTCCAAGTTGCTTTCTGAATCTCTTGTAGCCCATCCCAGTCTTGTGCAGATCAACAATCTTGTCCCTGATGTCCGTAGAAAGCTCTTTGGTCTTGCCCATGGTGGTGATGTTGGATGTTGGTTGTTTGGGTGGTGACAGGTGTTTTATACAGGTAACGAGGTGAGACAGGTGTATTTGATGTAGATAATTGGTTGGGATTGGGGCTGTGTCTTAAAGAAAGACTAACTTGCTTGTGTATGTTTTTATATATATATATATATCATATATAGGAGCAGAATGTGCAACAGTTTTATTGATAATGATTTACGGCTGCTAAAATACTTCTAATATCTGAATAAAAAGAAGTGTATTAGAGTTTCTGTTTTAAGATATAAATGAAAGATGCTAAATTCTTCAGGAACTCCTGGCTGTGACCTAAGGTTGGTGGAAGAGCTTCAGCACCAAGAGGAGCTAAAAAGAAGGCAGGAGGAGGCACGGCTAGAGAGAGAAGAGTTTAAGAAATTGCAGGTTTGTTTTCTTACCATGCATTCTTAGACAGAAATACATTTAAGCAATTTGAAATAAATTTCATAGAAATTAATGTACTATGGTAATATTGATATTACCGTTTTTGTTAATTTTGGAATGTTCTTCATTATCTAAATATCTGTAAAGACAAAAACAGGCTTCAGGCACTGTTTGGAAAGAAAATGTACTCGTCATGGTGCATTAAGACCAGATGCGGTGGCCGCGGCCATTGTGGTGGATTCACATAGAGTTCTAATGCAAACTGTGCAGCAAATGCAGTGAATTCCACACAGTGAGGATGTTGACTGCTCTGCCCTCACCTCGTGCTACTAGATAGAGCTAAGGTTTTTTCTTACAGCAGCACAGTATGTAAAGAGTGGAACAGTGATCGCTGAAGTTTTCTGTGAAACTGCGACAGCAGCATCCAATCAGGGACTGGTCATAGTCGAAGATTTTTCACTTTAAATGGAATACAGAAAAAAAACATTGTTAACAAAGGTAGAAATAAGGAAAGTTCTCAAGGGTTTTTTTTTTTAAAAAGTAGCCATTTTATTTTAGTCCTAGAAGGACTTTTAATCATCCTCAATTACCTCCTGCACAGTCTGTTGCTTTTTTTTTTTTTTACGAATTACCATTTTAAATGCACAAACCTGCACTAATGAAGCAATAACCATTCAGTCTATTTGAAAAAAATCATCCCAACAAGTTGAATCCTGTTAAAATCAAGGGAGAAGAAGAGAAGGTGGTCGAGGAGTATAAATATCTTGGTTTTCACCTGGACAACAAAGTCGACAGGAGAAGCAACTCTGAATCTGTCTACAAGAAGGAACATAACGGATTGTACTTCCTAAGGAAGCGTAGGTCGTTTGCAGCAAGATGCTACAGATCTTCTATCAGTGTGTTGTGCAGAGTGTGATCTCTTCCTCCGTTAACTGTTAGGATGACAGCATCAGAGCGAATGTGTCTTCAGTAAAAACCCGTGACAGCTTTCATTGTTTTTTTCACGGTATTCTCATCAAGGAATTATAAATTATTTTGGCCTATATTAGTTTTTCCTTATGTTGGATTATTTCTTTATTTAGTTGGAGCAGACTTTGATGCGCTGAACAATTAGCCATTGTGCTGAATGTATATTTTTAAATCCATTTATGGAAAGACGCTGACGTGTAAACATGTTCTTCCATCCGTTATAAAACATATTCACTTGTGAGTTTGGGATTTTAAGAATAGAATTGTAATATGATCATAAAAGTTGAGCTTTTACAGTGTGTCTTTTACTCTCTCACATTCAGCTCCTCTTTTTTCATATTTTTAAAAAAGAAAATATCTCTGGTGTCACAGATCTATGGCGCATTATGTTAAGAATACTTATCATGATATCATAAGCAATTTACTAGTAAATAGTGATGATTTGCACACATCAAACTTGACATGATACCAAAGGTTATTGTTTCCAAGCGGCTCAGTTTGGCATAGGCTAATAATATAAGATTACTAAACTCACACAGGTTAAGCTGTCCAATTTGCAGCAATTTAATGTATTTTTCAGAGGCAGTATGGTTTGGATGGCAGAGGAGGTTACCGTCGACAGATGGAGAGGTCCATGGAGAGAGCCGTTGCAAGCGGCCATCTTGCACCAGCTGAGTTTCATCTGAAGAGAGCCGAGATGATGGAGCGTCTGGCATCAGGGATTGATGATGGCTCCAGCAGAACTCAGGGTATATTTCTGTTTGGAGACACACACTCACAATTCACTTCATTGAGAAAACCTTGAAGTACTTTACGTTACACGGTTACCCTGAGTTTCCTTTACTCCAGTTATCCTCTCAAAACTTTTAAAGCGTTTACAAATAATAACTCAGAATTCATGAAAATTACACTGGTAAAATGTTTACAATATAGACATATTAGACAGAATTGGAAAGCTTCGATTCTACACAATTCAGTTCGTTTTATGGACAAAGCGAGCACAAAAGCACAATTAAATAAAGTGATTAAAAATCAGTGCCTCTGCGATTTGAAAATGCAATGAATTGCCCAGGCCTAGTGCCAATGCATTTCTAAAGATCCATACCTTTAATGAGCTTTTGTTATGAATCCTCAACTGGAAATCGGATGAACTCCAATATCATCATGGAGGAGTGGAAGAGCATTCCTTGGGCAACCTGTGGACTTTATCCACTGTCCTGCATGCTTTAGCTGAGTCTCTGCTTTAGCAAGACTGACTTTGATGATTGCATTACCTTCTCAGCAACCACCACAGGCTGCAGAAAACCTGCCATTACCTATTAATTTGGGTCAGATGAACTGCTACCAGAGAAACGACTGAAACATGCAGGACAGTGGGTTCAAAGACCCCTGCCAAGAAGGGTAAAGACATCGCAGGAAAATAATGTTGGCTAATTAAAATTTCCACAATTTAGACATTTATACTACGTTCACACTAAAAGCAATTTCAGCAGCAGAAAAGTTTCTGCTGCTTCATTTGTGATGCTTCTACACATTAAGGTCAGATCCGATCAAGCTTTCATGTTGTAGACGCCAAATTCTGACCCTACCATCCGAATGTCGCAGCAGAAATCGAGACTGATCAGACCAGGCAACGTTTTTCCAATCTTCTATTGTCCAATTTCGATGAGCTTGTGCAAATTGTAGCCTCAGTTTCCTGTTCTTAGCTGACAGGAGTGGCACCCGGTGTGGTCTTCTGCTGCTGTAGCCCATCTGCCTCAAAGTTTGACGTACTGTGCGTTCAGAGATGCTCTTCTGCCCACCTTGGTTGTAACGGGTGGTTATTTGAGTCACTGTTGCCCTTCTATCAGCTCCAACCAGTCTGGCCATTCTCCTCTGACCTCTGGCATCAACAAGGCATTTCCGCCCACAGAACTGCCGCTCACTGGATGTTTTTTCTTTTTCGGACCATTCTCTGTAAACCCTAGAGATGGTTGTGCGTGAAAATCCCAGTAGATCAGCAGTTTCTGAAATACTCAGACCAGCCCTTCTGGCACCAACAATCACGCCACGTTCAAAGTCACTCAAATCACCTTTCTTCCCCATACTGATGCTCGGTTTGAACTGCAGGAGATTGTCTTGACCATTTCTACATGCCTAAATGCACTGAGTTGCTGCCATGTGATTGGCTGCTTAGAAATTAAGTGTTAACGGGCAGTTGGACAGGTGTACCTAATAAAGTGGCCGGTGAGTGTATACTTCCTTATTCAATAGCAACTGGTTTCAGAACAGAAATTTGTCTAAACATGAATGGCTTCATCATTCCTTTACAGAAGAAGCCTCAGAAGCCCTGTCGTTTGTGTCAGGAAACTCTTCCTTACTCAAAAAGAACATGGCTTCAGGAGCTAAACTGGTCTTTGTAGGAATGGCTTCTTGCAGTTTCCTTGGTATTAGTGGCTTAATACCTGAACCCATTTAAAAAAAAAAGGGGCTACTAAAACAACACTCTATTTTGAGAAATAATATTTATTTTCAAGTAAACAAAATCAATCTGCATTCATAGCATGCACCAGAAACAGAATTTTTTAAACACAGTTCAGACGCGTAACGCACGTAACATTTTTTCGAACGCACATAACATCAGAATTTCCCATCAAAAGATTTCAGTGTTTCCTAAAGCCCCAAAAATAACTATGACAACTTGATGTACTAGGTATTCAAACTATAATCAAGAGAAATGCACTCATTTGCACACTTCACAGAGTTTGGAGGATTTGAAAAATTTGACATGTTGTTATTCTCTGAATGTAACGTAAGTAACGCTGAAAATGAGGCTGTAGTAAAAAAGCTGGTGAAGGGATGGATAGTGTGCTAAGTTTCCATGAAAGAATACTCATCCAGGATCACAAAAAATCTTTAAACACAATGGAAAGTCCAAGAAATAAAAAAATGATAGTCCTATTTATCACCAAAATCTGTGTCTGAACTGTAAGGTATGTAACGCGGATCGGCCCTTCAGAGGCATAGGCCAGTATCGGGTATTGCAGGCTAACAAAGAACTCAATGACTCCCCATTACTAAGGGATGGACCTGTTCTTTCGGTTTGATATGCATGTTTTCTAAGCCATAACGAGGCTTTATTATGCTACCCTATAAACCTTGGAGCTCAACGCTAAACCAGTAATTTTAAAGTGAAAAAGCTTCCTGGATAGGAAGCGAAAGGTCTTCAAACTTGGAAAGCAAGGTCCAGTGTTTGGTTGTTTTTTTTAAACTCTTTTTAACTTTTTTTTTTTTTTTTTTCAAATTCATAGACTGTAGCTATGTAAACTTAAATGACCGTTTACTCTCTCATCCCCTCCATCAGGTATTATCCAAGCATTAAAGGATTACTACCAAGCTGAATGCAGGGACTGTGTCCATGTGTGGCTGAGTGCTGACACTGACCATTATAGCTCTTCTGCTGGTGACACAGGCTGGGGCTGTGGATACAGAAACTTCCAGATGCTCCTTTCTTCCCTTCACAGAATAGAAACGTATTCTTCAGCTCTGCAAGGTGAACCACACTATAGCTTCTGTCTATCCTAAGAAAGATGCAAAAATGTCCATGCCTCTCCTGTTTTTTGAGGTGTATGATCTCAAATAGGATCTGCAGTAAACATTATTGGGATTTTATGTAAGACGTAAAAACAAAGTATTGCATATCTTGATAATCTGGTTTGTATTTCTATGAATTTGTTGTTTTTGTTGTTTTACCTTTTCTAATTCTAAATGAATTCCACAAGAAACTAGTTTTCCTCTAAATTCCTCTCATTGTTAAACCTCTTATGGCTGATGTAATCTAAGTGGGATTACAACTTTTCTGTGAAGGATTCAGAGATTTTTTGGGGGAATATTAGTAAACAAAAGGCACCATGAAGAGTATATAATCAGATAACACAGGCTAATCAATGACAAAAAGATATTAAGAGAATAGTAAGATTAAAAATACCATATTCTAAGCTTATCAGCACTATTGCAATAGAAAGGAGCAGGAATGCCAAAATCCAGTACTCAAGCTGGAACTTAGACATGTAAGTCAGTGTTAAGGTTTGACTTTACTATTAAACTGTCTGTGATACTCAAACCATCTTGTTAGGCATGTCCTGATCCAATATTCATATCAGATATCGATCCGTTATTGGCTAAAAATACTAATATAAAATTTTATCGGCCGAAATCTCTAATATCCTCATGCTGATAGAAACACTCTGCTTTTGCTTAGTTTCTGTAACTTTACATGTGTCACTTGTTTTCATACCTGATCAAGACTTTTCTAACATTCAACAGCGTAAAATAAGTAATAAAAGCCAGTGCGGTTCATGCTTACATCATATTGGGTCAATATGTATGTATGTACTATGTATGTATGTATGTATATATATATGTATATGTGTGTGTGTGTGTGTGTGTGTATGTGTATATATATGTGTATATATGTATATGTATGATGGATGGAAGGGGTAAATATCCCCACTTTTGCATTTTAGTAACATAAGACACCAATTGTATTAAAATATGAAATGTAACAAGTTATAGCATATATAACAGATAATAACCGGAGGAAGATTAGTGGGAGTGTGAAAACAAAGATCGATTCAGCAAGAAACCCAGTTAAGACAACGGCCATCCTCTACTCTATAACCTCAGCTCTGCCACATTTGCAACATAAGTTAGCCATTCATTGGCCATGCATCTAATTACCTGATAAAAAAAGAGCATAAAGTATTTAAATAAAATATACCACATTAACCAGAGATGCTGATTAGTTATGAACTAAATTAATCGTTCTGTCTTTGTGCAGGAAGTCTTACTATCTCAATTTAGTATCAGCCATTGAGGCAAATCTTTGAACAACATCTAAAATGCAGATTGTCGCTAGCTTAACTTAGCTGTAAACGTTTTGCTCTAACTGACCAGTCATAGGAAAGAAAATGCTGGTGTAGGCATCGACCCCCTAGCTGGCCCTGTGCGGGAAATCTGAAATCTGATTGGTTGTAGAAAACATTCCTCACTAATGTTAAGGTAACATCAGCCAGCACTGCTGATTTTGAAGACCCTAAGCAGATTTGATTGGTATAGCAACCCTCTAAGGCTGAAATCTGACTGGACAGAAAATATAGCTACCACATAAATGTAAGGGAAGCAGCGCAGCTAAGAGAAGTGCTACAAATTTAAGAGAACAGATTGTTTGGAATAAATTAGTACAGTTGGATAGAATAAAATGTAAGTTCAGGTTGTGAATGTATGTTAGTGTTCCTGATAGATTTAAGGGCAGCAGTGAAGGTCTTGAAGTCCCTGACGGCCCTCCACTGATTGGTATTGGCCAATTGTCGAAGCTGCAATATCGGTATCAGAAATGAAAACATGGTATTGGTAAACTCCTACGTCTTAGTGTTATTGTGGCATTGCTTCCTGTTGGCTCCTGTGTTAATTACAGGCTTTGCTTCTCGATCAGAAAAGACGGTGCCTTGTATCCCTCGGGTGCAGAGGATGATCCAGGAAGCTTGGAGGGAAGGGCTTGATCCCCAGGGGGCATCACACTTCAATCATCAGTTGGAGAGAACAGAGGCCTGGATTGGAGCCACAGAGATATACGTCCTCCTCACATCGCTCGGATTGAGGTTGGTAAGCTCCTCTGTTTTTGTTGTTTTTTAAAGTAATGTCTTGCATAGTTGGACATTCTTTTAAAATGATTTCCTATTGAGCTTTACACAGTTCCAGATTGACAGAAATGGAAAAAACTGTTCTTATAAAAATAAAACTTAGGAATAGAATAGAACTTTATTGAGCTCACAATGGAGAAATTCACTTGTGACATCACCTCTACATCGTCTATACAGTATAGCCAGATATATACAGTGGATGGTGAAAAATAAAGGAGATTGAAGTTGACTTATATATACAGTATCTTATGTACAATAGAGTGGTGGCGAGTAAAGTACGGTTTCTTTTTTTTAAATAGATAAATAGTTATTACAGCGTTCTTGCACCAGGTTATATTGCAGTGGCATTGTAAAGTCTGCTGGCAGCAGTGACGAATGACCCATGGTAGTGCTCCTTTTTACACATGGGATATATAAGTCTGTTACTAACCTTAGCGCTGCCTACAGCTCCCCCTACAGTCTCTAAGGTGGCCAGTGCAGGCTCTGAACCTAGCCTGACTGAACATTGTTGGACTGAAGGGGTCCTTCATTTGAGGGGCTCAATAATGCTGCCTGTCCTTTAGCCACAAACATTTTGAACACCTCACTGAGCACACTTGCGCCACTTCTCCTGGTAATACGGTAAAGCCCTCCGGAGCGTCCGGCACCAGGCTGCAGGTGATACAAATTAGCCAATGAGCCGTCAGTCTGGGCTGCTGCTGCTGCTGCTACTTTTAGACACAGCAGGCAAACCTTTGGCAAGCCGGGCGATGGGAAAGAAGGAGAAGATGATGAGAAAAAGAGAGCAGAGAAAGTGTGGACTGCTGGAAGAACTGCGGTGAACTGGTGAAAGAAAATTAAAATAGTGTGCTCAAAGGTGACCCTGCACATTTAGAGGATGTTTGGCTCAACCTGCTGCTGTGAAACAGCAACAAAGGTTTTCAATTGGATTTAGATCAGGACTCATTGCTGGCCATTTTAAGACGGTCCATTTTTTCCCCTTTCAACCATGCCTGCATGCTTTTGCAGGTGTGCTTTGGGTCATTATCTTGCTGACCCAGGATCTTCGCCTCAAACCAAGTTTTTTTTTAAACTGGGCAAGACATTTCGCTCTAGAATTTCTTGATAATTTCCTCATTTCATGAGGCCTGTGATATGGTCAAGGCCTTCAGTACCAGATGCCGCAAAGCAGCCCCACAGCATTATGGATCCTCCACCATGCTTGATTGTTGGTATAGTGTTCTTTTCTTTAAAGGCTTCATTGCGCTGTCTGTAAACATACTGTTGGTGTAAATTACCAAAAAGCTCCACCTTTGTTTCATTTGTCCATTAAATGTTGTCCCAGAAGGCTTGAGGTTTGTCGAGGTTCTCTTTTTCGAAGACCAGTCGTGTTTTTTTTTTGTCTTTTCTTTAGCAATGGGGTCTTCCTTGGCTTTCGCCCATAAAGCCCCACTTTGTTTAGTGTGCAGCGTATGGTACCTGCTGAAACAATCACACCAGCCTGCTCCAGGTTGGTCTTCAGGTCTTTAGAGGTTTGACGTGGTGTTTTTCCTACCATTCACTCGAACCGTCGAAGACTTCTGTCATCAATTTTTCTCTTCCCCCCACATCCAGGGAGGTTCTTGACAGTCCCATGCCTGGAAAACCTCTTAATAACATGACGTACTGTTGAAACAGGGATATCAAGGTCTTTGGAGATGGCTTTATACCCTTTCGAGTTGGAGTGCCTTTGGAGTGTCTTTGCCATTGTCACATGTGAAGATGGACTAACAGATGCCTTTTAAAGCACCAACATTATAATTTATTGGTTAATTCATGTCATATCATGTGTGGAGGCAGTTCATCACAAGTGATCTTCATTTGTGATTTGCAACAGGTGAGCCGAATTGGGTTTTGATACTGATTTGCAGCAAAAAGTGCCAATGCCATGGACATGGTGAACATGTTTTTCTTTGTTTTCCTCATAATAATTATCTTTTTTAATGTTTTTTTTTTTTTATCATCACAATCTATCTGCAGTAAAATGTTTTTTACTTGATTTATTTCCTTCAGGAGACATTCCATTATATCTTCTTAAACTTCAGGGGTGCCAATAATGGTGAGCAGGACTGTATCGATCCAGGCTCACGAATGAGCACCTTGACTTGTGGTTGAGAATGGCTTTGTCGCCTATCAAACCCGGTTTAAAAGCCTCGCAGAGCAGCCTAAAGCCCACTTTCTCTCATTAAGCCATCATCTTTCTTTATTGCAGGTGATTTGGTTCTGTTTGCATCTACAGCCCATGAGCCTGAGTGTCCACTGGGGTTGAAAGGGCCTGCTTAAATAAAATTCTTAGTCCAAATCCACAAATTTTGGCCAGAAAAATAGAAATTGCTCTCTCTGGTTTAGAGGTCAGTCTTGCCACAGCCTGAGGGGCTTAGGAATCCTGATGTCGGGTGTGCAGGTGGCTCAGTGCTTGTCGCTCCCCCTCTCTCATACCCCCTTTCCAGTCAGCCTACTGTTGAAAAAAAGAGACACTAGTGTCTTAATACTCAAAAAAGCTCAAAAAAAAAAAAAAAAAAAAGAATCCTGAAATCTTGAGCTCCAGTCATGTTATAATATCTTGTAGTAAAGAATGAGCTGAGCTAAAAATAAGGCAGTTGATTAATTTATCTGTCTACATTATAACCAGTCTGTATGGAACGTTACCTAAAGAAATGCTCAATACATGATGTTGAAACAAGCCTCCTCTGTAGAGTGATTCCAGTTCAGTTTGTTTATAAAGCAGATAGACAATCCAATCGGATCATACTGTCAGAAAAATGTTTCTCCTTATATAGAAACCTTTTACCAAACTAAGGTAAGGTTTCTCTACATTTAGAGAAAGCTCATGCTACATTCACACCGAATGCGCGATTCTCAAGCAGCAGATACTTGAGTTGGAAAAATGTAACAATTGCTGCTTGATGCGCCACTTTAACCAATCATAAGAAAAAAGCTGATCTGGGAGATGGCTGGGAGAGAGACAGTGCTGCTGATTCAGAACACTATCATCACTTCCCTGAAACAGATTATTCAAGCCTAAATTTACCTAAAATGTCGAAACCTGCCGGCAAAATATGTTTGCTTTTATTATCCGGGCCTGAGGCAGCTTCTGCTGGAATCCCGGTGAGGGTGCACCGCTGGTATGTGGGGGTCTGGGCAGCTCTGAGGGCAAATTAATGTTTTAAGGCAGGATCATAATATTGATGAACTGACTACACAGACAGGTGGACTTTCTCACTTAAAAATATATTAAAACTATTTTTTACCCACTGATCACAATACCACTCTCTGCCATTGCATACAGGAGCGCAACAATCATCAGAAACATGTGAACACCCTTTACTGGGGGCGCTTCAGGAGCATCTTCTTGATACACGTCTGACCTTAATGTGTACAAGCATCAAAAATGAAGCAGCAGATGCTTTTTTCCTTCTCAAAGCGCGTTGGGTGTTAACGTAGCATCAGAATATAGAAAGATCAACTTCTAAACTTAAAGAAGAAACTTGAAAAGAGTCGGCTGAGGTGGTTCAATATTGGTTCAGAAAAACTGTTGGTCAAGCCAGAAGTCAATGGAGGAAAGAAAGGATGATGGGATGAGTTTTCAAAGGGGAAAGTTACAACTTTTTTCTTTTTTCCTCAGCTGCAGCATTTCATTTTTAAACAGTAAAGTTTGGTTAAATCTAAGCATTGTTGGTTTTTCTGCAGGGGACGCATAATAGACTTCCACCAGCCAACCGGCAGCAGGAATACCCATCCTCAGTTGTTTGACTGGGTAAAGAAATACTTCTGTTCATCCAGTGTAAGCAACAGACTGTCCCCCCGACTCATCCTGACCAGCCTACCACCACTTTATCTGCAACACCAAGGTACAGGATGTATGGCAGTATAGGAGTGACTGATGACCTGATTGAGCCTTTCCTTAGTCCAAGTTATCTGTTAAATCTGTTATTTCCTGGTGCCTGTTGCAGGCATGTTTTTTTTAAACACTTCAACCTTCCAGTTATAGATTTATCTATAAAACAAAGACTATTCTGGTCATTAATGACGGTTGATTTGGCTCAGCTGGGTTTTTATTGTACCCACCGATTGCTTTAATTGTAAACTTTGTCATAAAGCATCAACCTAGAAATGTGCGCTGGTTTCATTCTATGTAGAAGCCGATATCTGAGGCACAAGCTTCCATGTAAAAGATCCTCTAATACCCCTTTCCCACTGGCCCGACAGCCTGTTTAAAACTGGCAACAATCTACTTTTTGTGGCAGTGTGAACAGCTCACTGACGCGTTTCTACCCGGATCAACCGACCTGTTTAAAATCTCCTTATCTCTGATCGGTATGCTGTGGCATCGACAGAGCCGGGTTGACCCGCTTAATTACGTGACACCATTGAACACAAGATACAGACGTCAACGCATTGGTTTCTGATCTATCAAGCCGAAACAACTCACTACACCCTGCCTTCCTTATATGTAAATGGTTAATGGCCTGTACATGTATAGAGATTTTTCAAGTCAGATGACTTCACCAAAGCGTTTTACACAACATTCTGTCATCCACCCATTCCCGCACACACTCACACATAGGTGGTGGAAAACTACATTGTCGCCACAGCTGACCTGGGGCCCACTGACAGGAGCAAGGCTGCCATACACTGGCGCCACCAGGCCCTCGGACCACCATCAGTACACAACGAACCGTCAACCCTTCAATTTCAGGGCAAACTCCTATGTCCGATGCCACTGTTGCCCTTATGTTGCTCTCCATTGTTTACTTTCCTGATTTCCCTCACACTGGCAGTACCGTCCATAGACATTTTGGGGTTAGGTACTCAAGTAGGAAAAAAAGGGCAAGTTCTGTAGGGCATAGCACCACACGCTGTCCTAACAGTGTTTTTTATGGGCAATTTTTAACCTTGATGTAGCAGTTGTTGGTGTTGCGAGTAATGAGTCACATAACGTCTTTCTACAGCAATGATTAACGATCATATGGAGCCATTTAAGCCGCAACATCAACTGTTAACATAATTTAATGCAGGGTTGAGTGTTTTTCTGGAAGAAACCAGTTTATGCTGGACAAGTGGAAGAAACTGAAAGAAAGTCCTGGTAATACATCATATTTTGAAGAACTGGGATAGTTCCATTGAAAAGTCAGCTCACTATATCCACCAGATTGTAAACACCACCTCACTGGACAAAAAGGGCACAAAAGCGCATGTACAAAAGCGTGGAGGATGAGGAGAGCCCGCCTGCCCCCATCCATCCTCACGACCTTCTACAGAAGCACCATAGAGAGCGTTCTGAGCAGCTGTCTCACTGTGTGGTGTGGATGCTGCAGCCTTTTTGGGCCGATTCTCCAGTCGTGCGAGAATTTTTCAAACGGGCCGAGTCTCAGCCTCCTCATGCTTCCTGCATCATATAATATACAGGGGTATACTACAAGATAATGAGGGGCAATCAGCCTCTCTCAACCACCTCCCGACCAGCAATCGTAAGGACGGGAGAAAATCACACGTTTGAAATTCAGTCGGCCGTCGTAAGGTGTTCATGGGCAAATCCTGCTTTTGAAGCAGAGATACAAGCCGGTTTACCAGAACCTCGAGAACTGCGCATTAGAGAACAAGGGAGTCCTTCTTCCTCCAGATTGACAAATCCGACCTGCGCATCTCACGGCGTTGAGTCCGACGTGTGGTTTTCGATCATAACATACCAGTCTTAAATTAATGAAAATTGTTTTAAATGGTTATTGAGTCAGATATGTGGCGGGTAATGTTTGGTTTATTGAAAAGTTTCACCTGTCTCTGTCCAAGTGGGTTTAGCTGACATTTAAGATTCCAATATCTCTGCAGTGTGTGAACTACTAATCTAATATCTGCGATGATGGTACTGCTGCTGAAACTATTCAGAAATTAAATTGGCACTCAGAACAGTATTGAGAAGTTCAGCATCCATTCTTTTCCTGCTTTGTGTGTCACCTGTCACGGTTGCTATGTGACAGATCTTAGACTGAGTGAGGGGTGATGACAGCCAGAGAAGACCCAACCTGTTTGAATCAATTAATGAACTCTTGTGGGCTCCTAATTTTCAAGGCTTTTGTAGAACCCAATCCAAGTAGACAGGGTCCTTGGAGGATGCAGGGGCTGTATTAGAAAACAGCCCTTCTTTCAATAGGATGCAGTCGTACTGTCCCCTCTGCAAAAGAGCGTCTCCAAAGACTGTTTCCATCTCCATACTTCAGTTGAGATGGTGTTCTTCAGGTTGTACTCATCTTTTTATTTTTCTTCCTTCATAGCATGTTTAACATACCAGTAGCAGTTGAGATCCTAAAAACTGAAATATTTCATCTACAGCCCCACATCCCATAAGGGTTAACGAGGAGGTGCTCTGAGTGCAGAGTAGGAACAAAGAGGAGGAATAGGAGATGGAAGATCAAACTGTTTTTCCTATTGATTATGATAAGCAACATAAGACCAGAAAAAAGTTGGATAAAGTCCAAACTCTAGCAAGGATTCAGCCATAATATCATAAATGCTGTTTTAGGAGATTTTACTGAGAGATTGCTGTAGTTTTATATAACTGATTCCAATTTTTTATGTTTGCACACTTGTACAAATTAAGCACACTTTACTGGAGCATCAAAGATGTGTACAAGCATTAAAAATAAAGCGGCAGCTTTTTTGCTGCTTTCAGCGCTTGCGGTCTTAATGTACCACAAGGCACTGGATGAATGAGCTTGTACCTTACTGCACACCCTAAAACAGTGGTGCTCGAGTCCAGTCCTCTAGAGCTACCATCCTGTAACCTTTAGATGCATCTCTTCTCTAACACACCTGAATCTAAGAGCTCAGTCCCCCTTATTTGGTTAAGCAGAGGTTTGTTAATGAGCCACTCATTTTGTTCAGGTGTGTTTAAAAATGGGCAGGGTATCAAATATGGCAGGGTAGTAGCTCTTGAGGACTGGACTTGAGCACCCCTGCCCTTAAAGATACAATATAATGTGAGAGGAAAGCTATGGAGGACCAACTCTGCCATATTTAAAAATAAATACAGAAATAAATGAAAGACAGAACTTTTAACATAATACTCTGAGCTCTGTGAGTTAAGAGGATGGGCTGCCAACCAATGGGCAGAAAACACACCCCTCCTCATTTGCATAATGAGGCAGAAATGCAGACAGAAATATAAAAACGACAGGCAGAAATACATAGCATTGAAGAAATAAATAGGTTAAAAAAAAATACAAAAGAAGAATGAAACAGACATGCACATAAATAAATACTTAAAAAAAATAAGTAATAAATAAATAAAGTTGAAGATTATAATGGACAATAAATAGATAAGGTACAAAGGGGAATAAATAAAGACGCTAATTAAAAGAGATGTTTACATTTATGTCTCACTGCATAATTTAATTTCTACCTACATTTATGTGCAATTAATTGTATGCTTATTTTATTTATTGAGCATGTATTTATTTCTGTATTTATTTTTAAATTCGTCCAGAATTGGTCCTCCATAGGAAGCAATCTTTGAAAAAAATGCAATTGTGGGGCCCCTTCACAGGTATTCTGCCCTCCCTGAGCTTGTCTATCTATGTTGGAGGGAGCCTTTCTGGACCAGCTTCAAATTAGCCCTTTGCAGGTTCTTCTTCCACATTGATTTACTTGCTATGCATTGTGTGTTGTATTATTATGAATGTGCTCAGATGGATGTGTTGTATGGTTCTTGACATCCTTTCATTGCTTTACACAAGAGAGGAGGGTTGAATGAGAAAAGTTTGTGTAATGTTTTGTTTTTTCTTTTGATGTTTAAAAAAATAAAAAATCATCTTCTTTTTGTGGTGTGTCTGTAAGACTATATATAAGTAAGTTTGTTTTTTTAAAATACAACTTCCACTATAACTGTAAATACTTGCTATACACCATAAATATGTTATAAACGCTTCTGTTAATAAAACAAATCTTAAAAAAAAAAAAAAAGAAGTTGATTGTTTCAATGTTTTAACAGCAAGTAGGTCATTTATTATTCTTTGTTTTAAAATGTCTCAGACATATGGAAGAAGATTAGGGCCACTGGAATAAAAAAAAAAAAAAAAGTTAACTGATTTTTACATTTTTTTTTTCAGTTTAGTATGGGAAAAAAGTCAGAATTCTGAGAAAAAAGTCAGAATTCTGAGGAATATACTAAACTGAAATAAAATGTAAAAATCAGTTAACTTTTTTTTTTTTTTAACAGTAGCCCTAATCCTCTACACATACAGCAGGAAAAGGACTTGGTTTTTACAAATGTGGTTGGTGCGTAAGTCAGAAAGTTGGTTGAGCATTAGGTTGATAAAAGAAGTCTTTGGGATTTTATCACCGGGCATCACCTTATTTAAGAGACCGCAGCAGAAGGCAAAATATACTGTGTGTAAATGTTCTTAATGGGTTTATTCATTACAAATTGATTAAAAACAAGAGTCTCTGTGGTGTACTGGATACTTACTTGGTTTACACTGTGGTTAACCATGGTGGTATACAAGCATGTACCAGTTTTTAATCCTAATGTGCTCCCCTCATATCCACCTTTAGGTCACAGCCGAACAGTAGTTGGTTTGGAGCAGAGGAAGAATGGAAATCTGTGCCTCCTGCTTTTGGATCCTGCCTCTTCAGCCTCTGACACCAGAAAGCTGCTGAATAGAGACACATGTTGCACGGCCATTCAGTTCATCAGAAAGTTTCCCAGAAGCCTAAAGCACAAACAGTACCAGCTTGTAGCAGTGGAAGGTGTGCTGTCATCTGAGGAGAAAGAGGTGAGATTTTTTCAAATCTGCTTTAATAGCAGATTTAATATCAGCAGATAAACCCAAAACCAGTGTCTCAAAAGAAGAAATATCCATTTTTAGTTTGACAGACTTGTTGATAGTTCCTGTGGTGGATTGGTATGAGTAATCAGGAAGTTGACATGCTTTGAATATGTTCTCTGAAATCTTTTTTTTTTTCACAGATGAGAATCCTCAGCTCCAGGAACTTATGTGCGGAAAGGATCCCCTGAACACAAATTGGTCTTTCCTGTTTTGAATGCTCCTGTTGCTGGATGCATTTTTGTACATTAATGATGTGCTGTGAAAGTTATTTCCAATTTTAAATTTACCATTAAATAAACAATTTTATTTTTTGTTAATTTTGCTTCAAAATTTTTTAATGCAATATGTGAGGTTTGGATTTAATCAACCACCATTGAGCCTCCCCTGTTTCAGACAGCAGCAGTCGGCCCCAAAGTGATTTATTTGTTAAGTGGAATAAATCAAATGGATTCCCTCTGCACTGCTGTTCTGTGATACAGAGGAGATAAAGGGATCAAATTAATTTCAATGTATTACTGCATCATCTAGAAATGATATTTGGGGAAGATCTGTTAAATTAAGTTTGAAGGTTATTTAAAAAGTGATCAGATAGAACAGGGGTTTAAGAAAATACTGTTATTTCTTCACATTAACTGCCATATGTCGGCACGATGTCCAAAGTATTAAGATAAGGATGTGTGGGACTATGCACATCTTGAACAAAGCCAATTCTGTCTAAGATAGCATTAAAGGCTTAATTTAAGCTATCATCTTTTAATTCAGTTTCAAATCAGTTTATTTCCATAGCACCAAATTACAACGCATGTCATCTAAAGGCATTTAATAGAGACAATTCAACCAGATCACACAGTCTTATTGATTCAAAGTTTTCCATCTAAGAAAAACCAGCTGATTGCATGGACTCATTGACTCAAAGGCAATCCCTTACACCAAGCATGCATGTAGCGACAAAGCAGAGGAACAGGCAGAAACCTCCAGTAGAACCAGGCTCAGTGTGAGCAGCCAGTCTCCTTTAACCCCAGTTAAAGGAGACTGAGGCAGACATACAAAAAGAAGCAGAGATGCAAAAGGCAACTGTTAACCAGCTCTGCAGGCGACCACTTCCAGAAAACACACAACCAGGCAGACGAGCTCCGAGCCAGCCCCCATGTCAGAGGATGAAGAGAGCACATCCAGTTAGTCACAGTCAGGGAAACGGGACTACGATGAAAAACAGGCCAAATGCCGACATCTATAAAGAAAGGTGTTGATGGCAGCAGCACAACTGATTTTTCTCTCCAGGATGATGTCATAACCAAACAGGAACAGACCAGATGAAGCTATTATGAGAAAAAGCAGAGAGAATAATATCAGAGATTGAACTAAGAAATTCTGCAGAATGGTGAAAAGGGGTCCCCATGTCCTCCCGCACTCTAGCAACATATCTATAGAGAAAACTCAGGATAACCTGAGTAACTATAACTTTATTAAAAGGGAAAGTTTTAGTGTAATAGCTGTACGTAGAATCTTCTGTAGCAGTCTGTCTTACCTTCGACGGAAAACTTCGTTGTCTGATGAAGAAAATGCACTCGGTTCTCCATAATGTTCTTCATTATATAAAGAATTATTTATGCAAAAAAAAAAGACAGAGGTTCCTATGTGGCCTTTTTTTTTTTTTTTTTTACATAATTTGTTCTGATGCCACTTTACCCTGGCATCAGATGATTGACTGTTCCCACGTTTGGTGCACCCAACAACTGCAGGGTCATCTGAGTATTTTTGTAGATGACAGGACTCAGTTGTGTACTCTCAGTCAAAGGTGTACAGTCTAAACAGGAATATGGAGAGTACCGTCCCCTGTGCTAACTATTTGATCAGACAAGTTACCATTTAGTGTCACAAAGGCTCTTGCCTAAGGATCAACACTGGCAGCTCGTCCCCCTCAGCAGGGATTTGCAACAGGATCTACTGTCTGCAAGTCAGGTGACTCACCACTTGAACTAGCCAGCCGCTGCCAGGTAGTGTTTGAGCCAGGTGATTGTTGAGGCCTCCATCTGAAGGCCTGGTTATACTCCTGCAGCAGTGTGTCACGGTGAGCTTGAAGCAGACATTTTCGATTTATGCCCAGTATTGAAGCACGGTCTGTGCTATACGCACTGGGTCTAGATACAGCCAAGCAGTGAGTAAATTGGGGTGAGTTTGTCCGACAACGGAGGGACATGATGGCGAAAAAAAGCGGGTATCCAGGTGGAAAAGGTCCCAGCATTCTCGCATACCTCGCTCTTCAAGCTGGTCCAACTTCACGAGTTTTTTTCCCGCAACTTCAGTCATAAAACCAAAACAAGCCGGCCTCCGGTCTGCGGCACTGTCTTATTTCAGCTACAATTTGGGAGAGGTGCAGCGGAGGGGGCAGGGACGTCTTTTTGTTCATTGCTACATCTACGCAGACAACCTAGTTTTGAAGTATAAATCAACCTCAAGTCCTCTGGAGTTTCTGATAAAAGTAAATCTTGTAGATATCCTCACAGTGCAATCTCCTTGTCTGAATGACAGTAGGTTTGTTCAAGATGATGCATAATGGCATCTTCAACTCTAACTCAATAGAAACTGAAAACATATCCATGTCCAAAATGTCTTTCATATAGAGGTTCCAAAACTTCTAATGTGTGTAGGTAGGAAGTACATTAACTCCTGTAGTGCACTGTGGTTTAACCAGGCATCTAATTTACCAATTAATACAAGTGCTTGATTCTCTACTGGCATATCCCCTACTGGTATCAGAGTCAATTTCAAATGGCAGCCACATCCAGAAAGCAAAATAAAACAAATTAAATAGATGGGAGAATAATTATGTTGTGATTCTATAGTTAAATTCTATTCCCAGCCCGCTGGGAATTTATGTTTCTGATACTTTAAGATGTTTATTGCCCTCCCCTGTAGGGGTGGTAAATATCTTATTTAATCAGATATTATTTCAGCTGTTATATAGTGTTTATGACACACAGTCCTACTAACTGTGTGTTAGAACAATAAATGAAAGAGTGATTCGAGCACTAATCATGGTCAAACAGTTATTTCTGCACATACATGGAATAAATTCACCACAACTTCTGTTCAAAATATAAGATTTTATTAACAAAAATCATTCAGCTCCAAGTCAAACATATTTCAGTTTAACACTCTCAACTAAGACTAGTAAAACTCAACTAAACTAAACTAACTACTATGTACAAAGAGGAAGGGGAAAACGGTTGAAAAACATATTACAGTTTAAGATGGATTCTGTGTTTGAAACCAAAGTTTATCTGGAAGAATTTGGAATGTGATCAAATTAGCTTTTCACTAATTTTAAAGAAATTGGAATGTTTTCAGACCAATTCACAATGCAAATCCATGAGGTGAATAAAACATTATTTGGCCAAATAATGTTTTGTTAAATGATTTGCTTAATCAAGAACCAAAAACCTTTAGTTAAATGATTCTTTACCCTCTTTGAAATAGCTAGCAGCGAATAGACATCAGGCTTCCACTAAATGACTCTTGGTCAGACTTGGTAATGGAAATGTAATGAGCATTTGAGGAACACATAAACACTAATGTTATATCAGTGTTTAAATCCTTAGTGAATAAAGCTTGTCTAAGCTTTAGCAACAGCTCAACACATATTCCTGTAGCATAGCGTAGCATGCAGTCCATTCTTTAGCATCAATTAGCGTTGTCTTTACTCAGCAGTAAACACAGGATATGATTAGCATCATCAAAAGACACATTGCTTTTCCTGTCCCTAATCATGCCAGACCTGCAAACCTTTTTCCATGTCCATTTGGAAAGCTTGAGTTTCATCCAGTTTTGCAGCTCTGCAGTCAGGGGTTCTTTGTCTCAGTCTCACAGCAGGGGTCCCCTCAGGCTCACACCAGGACATGCTCCTCATCCAGTTTGGCTCTGTAAGTTCTGAAACTCAAGAGAAATGTGTTGCAAAGGTTCTGTTTGCAGCAGTTAGGTTCTGAAGAGTTCTGACTCATCCTTGATGGTTCTGGGGATCTGGTTTCCCTGGGGCCTGCATCTCCACTGTGGGCCACAGTGGGCCCCAGCTTTGAGCGCAAGAGCAGAAGCAGGCTGGATCAGACGAGGGAGAGAAAGTGAAGAGGCAAAAGAGGAAGAATCCTGTGTGCTCTGTGGTTTTGTTCTGTCCTCACAGAGGGGGGGTGGTGGTTGGTCACACCTCTGTGACTTCCATGTGGCTGCTTTGGCTGAAAAAGGGGGGCTGCAGAAGTCCCCCAGCTGTTATTCACCAAAGCTGCGTTCTCTCCTCTGGTCATCCTATCAGGATGAAATATGGACACTGCTTCCCAATGTCCAAAAAGTATGATCATGGCATATGGCACAACAATTATAACAGCAAAGGCTCAGCAATTGAGAGGTCCAGGAGGGTAAAAGAAGAACCAACTTTGCCTGTTAGCACTGCAACAATTAGACAATGTTTATGAGGCCCAGCTACCAGCTTGAAGCAAAGTCCTGTCGCTCACGTGTGGGGTACCGATGAGGATGGTAGTTCACCGGAGACGGCAGTGGTGCAGATTCCGTTGTCTTTGGGGCTGGGGAACCTGGTCTACAGCATTGTCCTCGTGAAGTGTAGCTGGCAGGGGGTCGGCGGCAGGCCCTCCACCATGTCTGCCTGGTCAGACATGTCTAGAACAGGAGAGCCCCTTGGCTCTGTGGTGGGGCCCCTGTTGGCGTGCCTGACCTACGTCTGCTCTGCTCTTGCTGACTGCTCTGAACAATCTGGCTCCTTGACGGAGGGCTCATGCAGTCCAGTTGGGTGCACAGCGCTCTTTTCAGGAGGAGCTCTGCGGGCGACGTTTTAGTGGTACTGTGAGGCGTGTTCCGATAAGTCAGCAGGAAACTGCAGTCGTTGAAGAAGGGAGCCTTGGGACATTGATGCCTTTAGACTGTGCTTTAAGGTTTGTACAAACCTCTCAGCCAGTCCATTGGTAGACGGGTGGTAGGGTGCTGACTTAATGTGTGGAATTTCATTCATTTTGAGGAAAGCCTCCAACTCTTCGGAGACAAACTGGGGCCCGTTGTCACTTACTGGTTGTTCCGGTATTCCGTACCGACTGAACATTTCCTCCAGACGCTCAGTGGTTTTCCTGGTGGTCGTAGACCTCATGATGGCCACATCCGGCCATTAACTGTGCACGTCGACCACCACCAACAACATTCTGTCCTCGATTGGTCAAATATTGCACCAAAAACCAGACATTGCAGCTAGAATAGTAATGTACCAAATTAGCAGTGCATTTCTTTAAAGTTATGACTAGTTTAAAGTTATCTTCAT